CTCTCCGGGGGGGGCAGGGCTGAAGGTCCCGGAGAAGCCGGGGTTTTCGACAGCCGGGGGGTCGGGGTGCGCTGGGGAGGGGCCGGCGGGTTGCGGGGGGGGCGGGACCCCTGGGAAGCCGCTGTAGGGCACGTAGGGTGGAGCGTAGACCCCTGAGGCCATGAGCAGGGGGTTGAAAGGAGCCTGGTAGAGCCCGGGATGTGATGCCACGGGTGGGATGAGCACCTCCAGGTACTGCCCTGTCTCGGGGTCGTAGAGTGTTTTCAGCTGGGGCTGCCGCGGCGGCTCCATGTAGTAGCATTTCCCGCTGTCGGGATCAACGAGCATCCTCCGGTGCGTGGGCAGGTGGGGAGCAAAGGGCTTGGTGGAGCTTGGTGTGCTCTTACTGCTGGGTGAGGCACCGTCCGTTCTCCTCAGGAAAGGGGGAGCGTCCTCAGGGTGAGGTTGGGGCTGGGCTGGGGGCTCCAGCCCCTCGGGGGGTGGGGGCTGAAGGAGGTCAGGGCTGGGTTTTCTCCAGGCCACTTCCCCACTGACCAGGGGACACACACCAGTTCTCTGTGGAGCACCAGCCAGGTTGGGGAGCAAAGGAGATCCAAAGAATGAGCTGGCCATGTTGGAGACTGGTGGGTGCCCAAGGGAAGCAGGAACTGGATTGGTGGCCAAAGGGGACCCAAAGGATGAGCTGGCTGGGTTGAGGACTGTGGGGATCCCAAGTGAAGAGTTGGCTGGATGAGGAACCAAGGGGGTCCCAAAGGATGTGCTGGGTGGATTTGGGACCAAGGGGGTGACAAAGGATGTGCTGGGTGGATTTGGGACCAAGGGGGTGACAAAGGATGTGCTGGGTGGATTTGGGACCAAGGGGGTCACAAAGGATGTGCTGGGTGGATTGGGGGCCAAGGGGGTCACAAAGGATGTGCTGGGTAGATTGGGGACCAAGGGGGTCACAAAGGATGTGCTGGGTAGATTGGGGACCAAGGGGATCCCAAGAGAAGAGTTGGCTGGATGAGGAACCAAGGGGGTCCCAAAGGATGTGATAGATGGATTGGGGACTAAGGGGATCCCAAGAGAAGAGTTGGCTGGATGAGGAACCAAGGGAGTCCCAAAGGATGGGATGGATGGATTGTTGACCAAGGAAGTCCCAAAGGATGTGCTGGATGGACTGGGGACTAAGGGGGTGCCAAAGGATGCTCTGGGTGGACTGGGGCACAGAGGAGTTCCAAAGGATGTGCTGGGTGGATTTGGGATCAAGGGGGTCCCAAAGGATGTGATGGATGGATTGGGGACTAAGGGGGTCCCAAAGGATTCTCTGGATGGACGGGGGGACAGGGGATTCCCAAAGGGTATGACGGATGGATTGGGGACCAAGGGGTTCCCAAAGGATTCTTTGGGTGGATTGGGGGGCAGGGGATTCCCAAAGGATGCACTAGATGGATTGGGGACCAAGGGGGTCCCAAAGGATTCTCTGGGTGGATTGGGTGACAGGGGATTCTCAAAGGATGCGATGGATGGATTTAGGATCAGGGGAGTACCAAAGGATGCACTGGATGGATTGGGGACCATGGCGGTCCCAAAGGATGGGATGGACGGACTGGGCACCAGGGGAGTCCCAAAGGATGTGCTGGATGGATTGGAGGCCAAGGGGGTTCCAAAGGAAGCACTGGCTGGGTAGGGGATCAAGGGGGTCCCAAAAGACTTGTTGGTGGGGTTGGAGACCAAAGGAGCACCAAACGATGTGCTGACCAGGCTGGAGGCTGATGAGTAGCCAAAAGATGAGTTGGTCGTGTTGGGGACTGCAGGGGTCCCAAAGGACGTGCTAACTGGAGTGGGGACCACAGGGGTCCCAAGGGACGTGCTGGCTGGATTGGTGACCGTGGGGGTTCCAAAGGATGTGCTGGCAGGGTTGGGGACCAAGGGGGTCCTAAAGGATGTAGTGGCTGGGTTGGAGACTGCGGGCATCAAAGATGTTTTGGGGGCTTTCACAGGAATTGCTAAATAGTTGGAGTTCTTCGCTGGGGAAGCAGGAAGGTGAGGCTCGGGGGCTGCTGGCCACGGTGGGAAATGCTCCCAGGCCTCCCTCTGCCCTGGCAACTGGACAGAGGGACCTTTGCTGGCCACCCCGGCTGGGAACGGGGCGGTGGGGCCGGTGCTGCCCACAGAGCTGGTGTTCCCCACCGCCTGCTGGCTGCCGGGCGGCTGGGGTGCGCTGCTCTCCGCCGGCTCCCCCGGCCTACGGGTCACCCGGGCC